ACTGATAAAATCACCCAGAAAAGTAGGATTTGAAGGGAAATTCCTCAACATAATTAAGAGCATATATACAAAACCAACAGCTAATATCACTCTCAATGGACAGAAACTGAAAGCCTTCCCTCTGCAAACAGGTACCAGACAAGGATGCCCTTTATCACCACTCCTATTTAATGTTGTTTTAGAAGTCTTAGCCAGAGCTATAAGGCAAGAAAGGGAAATTAAAGGCATCCAAATTGGCAAAGAGGAAGTAAAACTCTCTCTATTGGCAGATGATATGATCCTATACATAGAAAACCCCAGACTCAGCAAAAAAAAAAACTACTGGAACTCATTGAAAGATTCAGCAAAGTGGCAAGGTACAAGATCAACATACACAAATCCTCTATACTAATAATGACAATGCTGAAAAGGAAATAAGGAAAGCAATACCATTTACAATAGCCACCCAAAGGATAAAATATTGAGGAATAAATGTAACCAGAGAGACAAAGAACCTATACAATAAAAACTATAAAATACTACTACACGAAACCAAAAGAAACTTACCAAAATGGAAGAATATACCATACTCCTGGATAGGAAGACTTAACATGGTGAAAACGTCAATATAACCCAAAGCAATCTACACATATAATACGATCCCAATCCAGATTCCAACAACATTCTTTAGAGAGATGGAAAAAACAATTACAAACTTTATAAGGAAAGGAAAGAGACCCAGGATAAGCAAAGCACTGCTTAAGAAGAAGAACAAAGTTGAGGCCTCTCACTCCATGATTTCAAAATTTAGTACATGGCTACAGTGGTCAAACAGCCTGGTACCGGTACAATGAAAGATACATAGATCAATAGAACAGAATCGAGAATCCAGAAATTAACCCATCCACATACAGCCAACTGATCTTTGTCAAAGGGTCAAAGTACATTAAGTGGGGAAGACATAGTCTCTTCAAAAGATGGTGCTGGCAGAACTAGAAATCAATATGCAAAAGATTGAAACAAGACCTTTACTTTATGCCATAGACAAAGACGAACTCAGCATGGATTAAAGACCTAAATGTGAATCCCAGAATTATAAAGGCTATCAATGAAAAAATAGGGACAAATAACATAACACGAGTAGATACATGCACACCAATGTTCATACAGCACTATTCACAATAGCAAAAAGATGGAGACAGCTTAAGTGCCCATCAATGGAAGGATAAACAAACTTTGGTATATACACACAATGGAATATTTATATTACCTTGAAGAGTAACAAGGAAGCTGTAAGCCCCCACATAACATGGATGAACCTTGAGGACATTATGTTGAATGAAATTAGTCAGTCACAAAAGGACAAACATTGCTTAAGACCATTACTGTAAAAGCTTAAGAAAAGATACTCACACTAAAAAGGAAAAAAAAAAAATGTTGGTTACCAGTGGGGGTGGGGGCTGGGGTTTGAGAGAGGTGGAGGGAGGTGACAGTAGAGCACAGGGTGGGGCAGACACATCATAGTTCAGGTGGTGGGGAGGGCAGTACACAAGAAGGGGGAAGGGGTGGAAGAACAAGGTAGACGGGAACACTGAGAGGTTTACATGAGCTAAATGAGACAGAGGTAAATAGCGATGCATGCTCAAACTTGGAACAACAGAGCTCTGTGATACAGGGATCCAGGCAGTCTGAAGAGGGGAAATAATACTAAGATGCTTGACTGTTTTATGAATATTGGTTTCCCTTGCCTACTATTGTAAAATAGACACTTGAGTGGGATAGAAAGGAATATCGGAAAACATGATTACAGAAAGCTTTTAAGTCCATCTTCAGCTTATAACTGATTGGAAAACTAACTTAAAAGGGGTTCTAGAACATGCCCAGTGAAATAGGCCTCCTGCAGAGCCCTTGTAGAGTATAGGACCTTAGGTGGAATCTTGAGCCCCATTCAGAACCTTCTGAGGTGGAACATTCCCATTAGAAAGGACAAGCAGACCAGCCTGGAACAGCTACAGTGACAGAAGATACATCTTCAAAGAAAGACCAGCAGGAAAAACCCAAGACAAAAATGACAGTATAACTGGCTGGGAAGCCATCAAGGCACGCAATCAAGTTCCTTCAGGACAAACCCTCCTCTAAGACTGAAACTCAAAGAGAACACATGAGCAGGCATGTAAGCTTGCTGGTGCCCATGTTGGTCTACTGGTGAGTGGAAGAGAGGGAAATGCAGCAATGAAGAAATGGGCTGAGTTCAACCATGGTCCATGGTCGATGAGATGAGAGAGAAGAGGAAGGGCTGGTTGGTTTAAAGCGTGGTGAGACCTGGGGACACCTGAGCCCATGGACAGGGATATACCCATGGAGGGCTGGAGCTGAGGAAGCATCCAGCTGATATGAAGTGAGGGGAGATGCACAAGGACACCCAAACTTGCAGATAGTACCCATTTGACCTAGCCTTGATGGCTTGATAATCAGAACTCAACTAGAGGAAGATCAAAAACAACAACAATTTTTGATAAAGGAAAAGAGCTAAATTGCTACAATTTGATAAACTTGACCTATATTCATGGACGTTGTTGTTGTTGTTAGGTGCCAGTGAGTCGGTACCGACTCATAGCAACCCTATGCACAGCAGAACGAAACACTGCCCAATCCTGGGCCAACCTCACTATTGTTGCCATGCTTGAGTCCATCGATGCTGCCACTTGGTCAATCCATCTCCTTGGGGGGCTTCCTTTTTTTCTCTGACCCTCCACCTTACCAAACATGATATCCTTCTCCAGCAACTGGTCCCTCCTGACAATATGTCCAAATAGCTCTAAATACCAATAAGAGAGGGAAGGAGTCTTCACATCAAGAATCAATGCTATCCCCTCTGTACACAGGGTAGACAGGGATGGGCAACTTAGACATTGGCTATCTAAAATGAGGGGGCGATAAAGGCATGAAGTAACTGGCTTACAAGATTTCAAGAGGGAGTTTAGTTTAGGAGTGTATGGGGGAAGACAGAGTCCCCACTGAATAATTTTCATCTTGTCTAGATGGGACTTGTGAAAAGAGATATGGATAAGATTCTTATGATTCAGTAGTAATTGTTAATCATGACTAATTGTAACTGTCACAAATGCAAAGGTAGAAATTTTGTAACAAAAATGGAGTAGTAGTTAATCTTACAGTCCAGAAACAGAGGACACTAGGACCATCAAGGGAGAAGAGCACAAGCGGAATGTGAGACCTTATCCAGAGAAGCAGCGACACCAGAGATGGAGGCAGAGATGGGGACATGGAGAGAGGGAGCAGCTGAGGACTCTAGACTCATGGAAAGAGAGGGACTGAGAGCTGGCGGCCAGGAAGCAGACTTGCAGAATGTGCCCTTTGGTGGTATAAATTATTATATATGCCTGAGTTTTTTTGTTTTTTTTTTTTAAAAAAGCTAAAATGAATATTGAGAAATACTGTTAATTGATGGTACATGAAAAGGATTATAATCTTTGTAAAGAAACAAAGTATATGAGTTGTTGAATGTAAAATTGATGATCTGCCCGCCCTATAAACTTCCACTCACTTCACAATAAAAACTTAAAAAAAAAAGTCACCCTAGGAGTCCTGGTGTGGTGCCGTGTGTTAATGCGCCAGACTGCAAAGACGTTTGAACTGCAAGGTTGGCGGTTCAAGCTCACCAGTTGCTCCTTGGAAACCCTGTACAGGGTCGCTATGGGTCAGAAGTGACTCGACGGCACTTCACAACAACAACAGTAGCACAGTGGGTTACATGTTGGGCTGGTAATATCAAGGTCAGCAGTTTAAATCCAGTCCATAGGAAAGAGGGAGGCTTTCTGCTCCCACAAAGATTTACCGCCTCAGAAACCTCTATGCAGGGCTCCTATGAGCAGGAACTGACTTGATAGCACTTAGGAATTCTACTGAAAAAGCCCTGTGGGTTAGGCATTTGGCTGTGAACCAAAAAGTTTGTCATTCAAACTCACCAGTCTCTCTGAGGAAGAAAAATGAGGCAGTCTGTTCCCATAAATATTTAGTCTCAGAAACCCTAGTCCTGTTCTGTCCTATAGAGTGTGTATGAGTTGGACTCGACTCTGTGACAAAGGTTTGGTTTGGGTTTGTATTCCTAATGCAGGTAAATACATTTTCGTGTATGTATGATCCTTTACAAAAGTGTCTTTGGTTTTGTAAAATGCCTACATATGTTCTGGTCCATTATTCTCTAAGTTGCTACTTTGGACAGATTTCTGGAGATTTTTTACATGTTCTATATAGGAGACCCTTGTTGCTACTTGTTCATCTGTATTGCAAATATTTCTCCCATTCTCTGGCTTTCCTTCTCATTTTCTTGTGAGTTAATTCTGTTTTTGTGGGAAAATAGACAATCAACTTTACCATTCATCCTTTTCATTACATGTAGCAGACCCTCATCTCTCTTCATGGCCGAGTAATATTCCGTTGTGTGGACAGACCACACTTGGTTACCCATTCGCCATTTGATGGGCATCTGAATGGCTGACCCTTTGTGACCAGTGTGAATACAGCTGCTACAATCTTGCCTTCTATATGTGTGACCACCTTCCAGCTGGGCTCCCTGTCTCCAAACTCTGTCCCCAAACCAGAGAGCTTGTTCTAAAATGTACCTGTTTCATGGACAAGTTCCATCTCCTTATAGGGTTAACAGGAAACCTGGGCCAGACCACAGTAACCAGAAAAGCCCTGGCCTGTCCCAGCTCCAAGTCCTGGCCCCCCTGCTCCAGTCCTCTATCCTAACCCACCTTTCCTGCCCCTTCCATCCCCTGCTGGCCTCTGTCCACTAGGACCTTGAAGCCTATGCTGAGATGAGGTCCAAGGCTGGGCCTGCCCTGTCCAGGTGCTGTCCTTACACCCAGCCAGAGCTGACCCTTCACCAGGGCCTCAGTGACTATCGCTGGTTCTTACCCTTTTTCATCGTTTTCTTAGTCTTCTTGTTCTTCGAATCCTGCAGAAAGAGCCACAAGCCAGGTCACTCACTAGGGGCTCACATTAAGGTGCTGAGGGAAGTGTGGGCAGAGAATTGATGCTGTTTTAGGGAGCGGGGGCTCCTACCCCTTTCCAGGAATGCTGGGCTGGTTCATCTCACCTGCTCCACCTGTAAGCTCACACCTGAGAGGTGTCGCCTGGACCCTGGACCTGGGAGCCCCGGCGCCTTGTCACATGACCTAAAGAAAGGCCTTCCTTCCTCCTGCGTTCTCCCACTTCCTGACCACCTGAAGCTGTGCAGGCTGGTTCCCAGAGCAGGTGGGGGAATCCAAGCCCTCCTCTTGGCCCTCTCTCCTATGACCTGCCCCACTGCCTTCCCTTGCTCAGCTGATCTCCCGGGGGAGAGGGGATGGTGAGTAACCACATACCCTGGCAAGCGTCAGCTTTTCCGACTCCACAGTGCGGATCACCCCGAAGTTGCACACAGTGGACACTAATGGCTCCCCGACCAGCAGAGGCTCTAATACCACCAGGCCACTGCCCAGAACTGTTAGGATGGGTGGGTCTTGGCGAAGCTCCTTGGGAACCTCCTTCTTCTTAGGCCCCTTCTGCTCCTGTGAGGAGAGGCAGGTGGGCAGGCAGATCAGGGCAGGGCATGGTCTTGGGCAGTCCACTGTTTCCCCCAGGGCCCAGAGTGGACACCCCCCCAGGCCAATTACCTTACTGGCCTCTTTCTCCCCATCCCCCTTCTTGTCTTTGCCCTTCTTGTTGTCTTTCTCCTTCTTGTCTTTGTCTTTCTTCAGCTTTCCTTTCTTGATTGTTGAGGAACTTTCCACGACAGGTGTTGGCAGAGGCCAGGACAAGATCTACAAGCCATCATGGGCACGTGGATAGCAGATTCACACAAGTGACAGGATAGAGTCCAGGGTGGGCAAGGGGTCAGCCCTTACACTGTTGAAAAGGCATTGAAACCACTCCCAACAAACACCCAAGAGACAAGGGGACGAGGAGGAAGTCACAGCCATGGAGCCCACGGGAGCAGGTGAACACCACGTGTGGAGGGCCCACCTTCTCCTCCACGATGGTCACTGTCGTCCCCGCCAGGAGGAAGGACTTGAGCGGCACCAGGTCCCGCAGTGTGTGCTGCATCTCGTAGTTGCAGGTGATGATGTTGCTCCAGGGCTTACGGACTGTGCTGAAGAGCACCGTCCTGGGGAGGCCCGGTGATGTCAGGGCACCTAAACCTCACACACAGCTCCTGTTGCCCACTGATCACTGTCCAGAAACCACCGCACGCTGCCCCTAACCACTACTGGCTGACCACTACCCACTGCCAAGAATGACGGCGGCTCTTGGCATGGGCACTGAGGAGAAAATGAGGCTTGGTGATGAGTAGGGACCTCCGTTGGGGCATGACTGTCCCTGGCTGCCTCATCTCAGCTTTAGGGCACATGGTAACCCTTCAGTATCATAGAGATGATTTTTTAAAGGAGCGCAGTATTCATGGGTGATGTTCTTTAAGATCCAATCTGTTATTTGGAGATCTGGGGTGGTGCTGTAGGTTAAGCGCTAGACTGCTAACTACAAGGTCAGCAGTTCAAACCTATCAACCATTCCTCAAAAACCCTATACAGGGGTGAGGAACAAACAAGATGGCGGATTGGGTGGAAGTGTAATGAAGAGCTCCGTCAGCAACAACACAGAATACCGGACCAAGAAGGCTCAGGGATGGTCCCAGAACTCTGAACCACTTATAACGGAATATTTAGAAGCTTACAGCTGGAGGAATTTGTGGCAGATGCAAGAAATCTATTGCTTTCTAGTCCGGGATGCTCAGCTGCTCCAGGAGCCGCCATCTTGGGTGAGACTGTGTGGGGGAAGGATCTGAGCAGCCACAGACGCCTGGCAGAACCGCTGAGATAAAGGTGTGGACATTTCTCTCTTTTGGTATCTGTTCATTGGTCCCTTGCTATCTGCGCCCCTCCATTCTGGTAACTATAGAGGTGCCTGAGCTAGTGGGCACCCCAGCCCCACCCTCGGAGGGTTCTACTACGCATGCGCACAGATCTCCTCGAAATTTAGCGAGACAGTCTCCAATTAAAACCAAACAGCCACAGCCGGCCCTGAACTGTTTACAAATAGAAACAAGGCCTGAACAGAGATTATGCAGTGGGACAAGCAGACAAAAAAGGAAATAAGCTGAAAATTAAATCCTAAGTTAAGTCAAAACGACCAACAGTGGCATCTTGAAATTTCTCAAGAAGAAGAGTGAAAAGGGAAGCCCATTTCCTGATCACATCTACCTGGAGGCA